TATACTATGCCTCACTGTCCATTGCTAGAGATGTAGCACAAAACAAAATGAGTAAAATCTGTATCCATATGGAGATGTTACAGTCTAGTGTGGCATTTACTTATTAGTGACAAAAATGGAATAAAAATAGCCAGAAATCTTGGAAATGAAAAGGCTAGTCATTGAAATAAAATTCCCAGAAGGAAACATAAATGTTAGGCTAGATGCAGTCGAAGAAAAATTACTCATTTGGAAGATATTCCTGAAGAAATCATTTAAAATGTAGTCATGAAAGAATAAGATATAAAACTAAATGTGTATGTGTGTGTCAGAGAGATGGAACATGCAAATATATGTGTAATGGAAGTTCCAGAAGAAGAAGCAAATAGAAATGATGGTTGAAAAACAATTTTTGAGAGATATTAGCTGAAATTATTTTAGAATTGAAGATGATACTCCTCAAGTTGAAAGCACATTCTGAAAACTTAGATGGAGAAAAATAAATTTACAAATATACCTTAACACTTTGTGGTAAAACTTCAGAACATCAAGAATTAAAAAAAAAAAAAAAAAAAAAACCCTTTAACCTATCAAAGAAAAACTATCCTCAAAACAAAGATGATTATACATCAACAGCAGTGTTGGGGGGTGGGGTTGGGGTGGAAATCATCAATCTGGATTCTAGAATTTTATACCCAAGATATCACAGAGAGACACTGTTCCAAAATATTCATTGAATAATCATTTTTAAAGTTGAACATTCTTTGGGAAGTAAACCTATAATGAAGGTATACAATTATTTTTTTAAGTACACATAAAAAGAAATATTAAGAAGTTATTAAATGTAACTTTTGCAAAAAAGTTGCAATTAGTTTTCATATAGAAAATAAAACTACACAACAGTAAAATAATGAGCAAAAAATTAAAAAAGCGCAGCACAATGGCCAACAAATGCATGTAAATTGAAAGTAACAATAAAAATTGAAAATCTGATAACATCAATGTGAACAAAGATGTGGAAAAATTATCACACCTATTTTTTTGGAACCTTTATTTGGACCAGTTGTGTGGGCAACTTTGTAAAGAATGGAAGGGATCAAAGAAGTTAGCTTCAGAGTGCATTATTCTGGGGAGAGAGAGATTAGAACAAAAAAGGTGTGGGTAGAGGTGAATGGGGTGCCAACTGTGTCTGTAATGAAGCAAAAGGACAAGATGCTAAGATTCATTAAAGCATGGTGGTATGCACATGGTTTTTCATAGTACTATCCTACATATGGGAGCTCTGGTAGCATAGTGCCTAAGGCACTTGACTGCTCACCAGAAGGCTGGCGGTTCAAACCCACCAACCACTCCTCGGAAGGAAAGTTGGGCAATCCTACTTCCGTAGTGATACTGCCTCGGAAACCCAAGGAGGGGTCGCCTCCACGGCAAACAACAACAACAACAAACAACAAATCCTACATATAGGAGCCCTGGTGGTATAGTGCCTAAGGCATTTGACTGCTAACTAGAAGGTTGGTGGTTCAAACCCACTGGCCACTCCTCAGAAGGAAGGCTGGGCAATCTACTTCCATAGTGATACCACCTCGGAAAGCCAAGGAGGGGTCACTATGAGTTGGAACTGACTTGACGGCAGTAAGTTTGTTTTAGTTTTATACTAAATATAGAATCCCTAAGTGTAGCAAATAGTTAACATGTTTGGCTGTTAACCAAAATATTACAAGTTCAAATTCACCCAGAGGTGCCTGGGAAGAAAAGTCTGATGATCTACTTCCAAAAAATCAGCTGCTGAAAACCTTGTGGAACACAGTTCTACTTTGATACACATTAGGTCACTATGAGTTGGAATGTACTCAACAGCAACTGTTTTTCTTTATCCTACAATTGAAATTTAAAGACACACAGAACTTTTAGGAGAACATGTCTGCACAGCAACAAAATTTACAGGACAGCCAGCTTCGGGCAGTTAGGCAAGTTACATGGCTATTTCCCTTCAATGGCTCGCAACTCTTAGAACAAAATCCAAACTCCTTATCATGGTCTATAATCAAAACCAAACCAAACCCACCACCATCAAGCCAATTCTGACTCATGGAGACCCTTTTGGACAGATTAGAATGGCCCTACAGGGTTTCCAAGGTGGGAAATCTTTACAGAAGTAGACTGCCTCTCTTTTGCCTGCAGATACCTGGTGGAGTCAGAGAACCTCATGGGTTTGAACAGCCAACCTTTTGGTTAGCATCCTAATGCTTTAACCACTATGTCAACAGTGCTCTGACAACACAGCTTATAAGGACCTACAAATTCTACTCCTTCCAGCCTCTCTAATTTATCCATTCACTCTTAGGTAGCTCCAGTCCTTTACATGATTTTTGTACCTCACACAATTCAAGCACATTTCCTAATCTGGTAACAATAACCCTATTGGCTTGCTATTACTCTCTCTAGAAAACTTCTTTGATTTTAATCACAGTAGGTATTTGTTTTCTATCTAGTGCCTTTAATAGATGCTGATTCAACCAGCTAAATAGAATTATTTTCATGGCACTTGACATGTGCTCCACTTTGCAGTGGTTCAAGTCATCATAACTCTTATCACTGGAAGTTGATGCTGCCTCTGGATTGCTGTGTTCCCAGCCCCCTGAGCCCTATGTACTCCAGAGCAGTGAGTGGGAAGAAGAGGAGGGAACTACAAATGTGCTTGGAAATCTCGTAGGAGTTCAAAATTAATGATAAATAGTAAAAACCAACCTTGGATGGTGAATTATCTTTGTTTTTTTAAATTGTAACTTCTTTTTGAGAGATGAAGAAACTAATTCTTACTAAGAATGAACTTAATATTTATTCTGGAAGCAACTCTTAGAGTCAAAGCTTTCCTAATTTAAGGTATAAAACTTGACTAATTCATGCTACTTTATCTTAGGAAGACAAAAATCAACACTACTACTACTACCAATAGGAATAGCAGTGTGTGTGTGTGTGTGTGTGTGTGTGTGTGTGTGTGTGTGTGTGAAATGCCACTTGAAAGACCAGTGCTGGACTTATCATTCTTTCGCACTGATTTTTGCTCATTGCCAAGTGTGCATTTGATAATCTGCCAATATTTTAATGCTGTAAAAGTGCTCTGAATTTCTAATCTAAGAAGCTTTTATCCAGATATCTAATATTCACTCAAATGTTATAGGACTTATTCTATGATATCAGTGTTGTGCTCACATCCTGAAAATGGTTTACATCACAAAAATAAATACTAGATTAAATAAAACCATGTGTGCTTTGTCTTCGTAGGTCAATCCCTTACAATTCTGTTTAGTAATTAGCCAATAGTTAAGCAAACCCAGCTGTAGTTCTTTGGAAATTATGCTTAATTATTTCTGCCCATAAGCATATACCTACCACTTAATGTACTAAAATAGTCATTTTCATGTTGCATTCTGGTGACAGAAAGAGCCAGTGTGTTTTAAAAAAAGAGTTACCAAAAGACAGGCATATGAGCTGAACATTTACATTAGGTAGATACACTCCTTGGAAATATCAGTCATGGGAGAATAGAAGATAGAAGGGCTGTGTATGCACAGAGACAGCTTCAGGGGGCAGGAGTGCATGGGAGGGAAGGACACAGGGAAAAGGTAACTATGGAGAGGAAGTAGGAGGGGAGCTGTTGCATTGTGGGAAATTGCAGTCAATGTCATGAGACAAAGTGTATGTGAGCTGCTGTATGAAAAGTGAATTTGCTCTGTAAACTTTCACCCAAATCACAATAAAATTTTTTTTAAAAAAAGAGTTTACCTTCTAATCTGAGCATGGCTTATTGGCTGAATTAAACTCAATATTCTGTTGAAAATGTTTTTTTGAATATTAATAATTTTATAATTACACAAGAAAGGAAAACTGGATAATGTTCCCCAATAGTCACAAGAAGATATGTTTCTTTGGTTTTATATTAATAACATAAATTATTGCAAATACTGAGCATTTATTGCATGCAGTACACTGTTCTAAACATTTTATTTGCATTGACTTATTTAATCTCATTGGTCTGGTCAAGTAGAAGCTAATGTTATCCCAAAATTATAAACAAGGAAGTTGAGGCTTAGATAAGTTAAACAATCTCTCTAAATATATAGTGGAGCTGATGGTAACTTTAATCATTTGTTTTGTTTTATTTTTAATTGAAGACTATTGACTATTGACTTTTTTTTTTTTTGGCCACCCTTCCCATCCTAGAGTTCAAAGATTCTGTTTGTTTGCCTGTCTTTAAAAGGAAGTCAGTGAAACTGGGAATGTTCTTACTCATTTTTAGGTTTCTCTAGCAGTAAATGACCATGCCTTCTTTGAATTCTCACAGGGCATTCTACCTGGACAAGTCAAATTCACCACCAAACTCCACATCCAAAGCTGCTTATGTAGATAAGGTAAAAATGGATGATTCCATTTATTGATGCTTAGTCATTTACAGACCTCACTTATTCATTTTTTCTGCTATTGTTCCTGAACTTTGTGTGATTATAAATATTTGTATTCTCCAATTCTGCTGCTTCTATAGTAACATAATATTTTTGCCTCTTCATGGAGAGCTACAAAGATTGTGAATTGTCTCCTGTGTGAAAGGATTTTCTACTGAGCATTTTTAACTCAATGCTCATCACTTTTTCTGCAGCTAATGAGGCCTCTCAATGCTTTGGATGAACTTTATCGACTCATCACCTCGTTTATTAGATCCAAACGCACGGCTGCCTGTGTGAACACAGCGTGCAGTGCCTCCGGAGTTGGCTTGCTGTCAGTCTCGTCAGAGCTGTGTAACAGGCTGGGCGCCTGCCATATCATCATGTGCAACAGTGGTGTGCACCGGTATGTGAACTTGCCACTTTGCTTTCATCTTTGGGATTGGTATTCTGTATGTTGGTCCTTGTTTGCATTGTGGCTGCCCAAATTTAAAAATTAAAACTGGAAGCATTCACAGGACCCTAATGTGTTTAGAATAAATTTTGGAAATTAGGTAAATCTTATGCAACATTTTCTCATTTTAGTTCATATATTTCCAATGATTAGTAAGTAAAGCAAATGCATGCAGTCATACATTTATATCATTGCAACCCAGAATCTTATCAACCTTGTATTTGTGTATGTTAGATACAGGAATGTGTATCAATTTTTTCACTATAGGAACTTGCCTAATAGTTGCTAATTCAGTAAGTTAAATGAAACTTTTTTCATTGCACTTGATGGACATTCTACTTTTCAGTGGTTCAGATTCCTATAATCCAATGATTGTAAACTGTGTCCTGAATTGGGTTTGCTATTGTTTTCCTATTCCTGATAGAATCATGGTCCAACCATGGTTATGCTTTTTCTGAAAATCTAAAGAAGAATGTTAACCACTTACTGTTGAGTCAGTTCCAATTCATGGTGACCCCATGTAGGTCATAGTAGAATGGCACACTGTAGGATCTTTTTTCTTTTTTAAATGAAATTTTATTGTGTTTTGTGAACATATACACAGCGAATTAATTTCCTATTTGGCAATTTCAACACAAGTTGTTCAATGACATTAGTTATATTTTTCACAATATGTCAACATTCGCGTTGATTGTGTTCTGGTTGTTTCCTTTCCAATATACTCATTTCCCTGCCCCCATTGACTTCTTATCCAAAGGCCTTTCAATGGCTGATTTTTTAGAAGTAGATTGCCAGTCCTTTTTTTTTTCCTGAGGCACCTCTGAGTAGACTCGAACTTCTAACCTTTCCATTATCAGCCAAGTTCATTAGCTTTTTCTACCACCCAGGAACTCTAAGGGGGAATCTTGGGTGGTTCCTATTCAGGTGACTTGTCTTAAGCAACTATACTATGTCTGGGCAGTCAAGATCAGAGCCCAAATTCTATAGTTATATCAGGCTAAAAATGTAAGTGGGGAATCCTTTGCCCAGTCCCTCTGTATAATCACCTACTCCTTTTTGTCTCCATTTTCACAAGAAAGTAGAACAATGTAGGTGGACATAATGGGCCAGAATATCATCCTCTTTTTCCTCAAGTTGGGAGCTGGCCTTCTGTTATCAGATGTATTTTCTTAGTACTAGGCAACCTAGATTTTGAGGAGGGTACAAATTTATTTATTCAAATTGATTTGGTATTTAATCCATACAGGACTATTGTTTGTACTGTTGGTTGGCTGTACAGCATCATTCCCATCTTTAAAGTGGTGTCACTCATGTTGGGGATATAAAGTATGGACAATAACATTAACACATTAATATTAAAAAAGAAAAGACTGCCAAACATAAAAAAGAAAGAGAAAAGAAAAGAAAATGTCCTAGGAAAGCTGTGATTCAGATAAGATTCAGAGGGAAAAAATAGATCATTGAAAATGTTAGAACGTGGAATTTTCCCTGGAGAGGGTGCTCCTTGAATTGGGTTTTCATGGGTTGGGTTTGAGAGAGAGAAAGGCCCTTCAAAACAGAAGACTCTCGTCTGTGAAATCCCACTTTGACTTGGCAGAGCAGAGCTCCAGTTTCCAAGCTTTACACAGCATAGCCTCACTTATGAAATGTGGCAGGAGTTTGTGTCTCTGAAAGAAATATTACATTTTTGTAGTTAACAAAATATCCAGCATTTCCCCCTTTCTTTTAATTGTTGTGTGTAAACTTACTAAGAGCATGTATGAAGTCTGCAACTGAACAAATAAAATATTTTATAATATTTTTACCAGCAGGAAAGTGATCTCTCCCTTCTGCTGAACTAGTGTTCATTCAGCCCAGTCAATCATTCATTTAGTTTTTCAATAAATATGTATTGAGCATCAGGTTCATGCTGGAACTGTCCTAGGTGCTGAGGATGCAGCATTGAATGAAATAAAGATCCTCCTTTCAAAAAATATGTCATATGTTGGGGAGAAATAGATGACAAAGAAATAAACAAATTGTATATAATGGGATAGGTGGAATAAATGCACTAAAGAATAGAAATCAGAGTAACAGTGGTACAAGATGGTAAAATGGGGAGAAGGAATAGCTTTCATTACAGACCTGGCTGAAATGAAGGAGTGAACCATGCAGCTACCTCAGAGTAGAACCTCCCTTCCATAAGGAGCAACAGACAAGCACAAGCAGGAGTATGCTTAATGTTTTCAAAAAACAGCAAGAAATTAATTGT